GGGTGGGGGGGGGGAACTACTAACCCACATACATCTGAATGGGATTCTTTACTTTTTCATGTCATCCTTTTAAGTGCTACTGTTTAACATACAAAGTTTGTGTAACAAAGAAAGTTTGTGTAAAACTATAAACAACCATTCAAAAGTTTGAAGTCAGTAAGGGTGTACACTTGTAGTTTGGTTCTCTTGGTTCGTTTGGTCCGGACCAAAAAAGAAAACAATGCATTTGGTCCTGTAATGTTTTTAAAATGTATCTTATGCTTGCCAAGGTTGCATTTATTTTATCAAAATACAGTAAAACAGTAATATTGTGAAATAATATTAAACTCAAAATAACGGTTTTCAGTTTTCGGCATTTTAAAATGTATTCCGGAGCTGGCAAAGCTGAATTTTCAGCAGCCATTACTCCAGTCTTCAGTGTCACATGATCCTTCAGAAATCATTCTAATATGCTGATATATGTAGCTCAAAAATATTTCTCATTATTATCATGGTCAAAAAAGGCTGTGCTGAATGTTTTTGAGGAAACGGTGACATTTCTTTCAGGGTTATTTGAAGAATAGAAAGTTCAAAACAACAGCATTTTATTTTAAATGGAAATCTTGCAACAATGTAAATTGCTTTACTGTCACATTATGTCAATTTAATGCACCCGTGCTGAAAAGTATTAATTTCATTCCAAGAAAAAAAAATCTTACTGACCCCAAAATTTTGAACAGTTATGTATATGTGAAATCTGATCACCTGATTGCTACTCATACGACTCCACAGCTGAGAGATGATCTTCACAGAAGACCCCACACATTCAGCCTGCAGGTTGCTCCCTCCCATCAACATCAGCACACAGCCTAGTATCCGGTTCTGAATCACAGAGAAACAAATTTAAAACCAGCCCTGGGAAAGATATTTATCTTAAAGGTCAGTCTGGTTTTTAAGAGCAGGATGTCAGATAGAGTTAATTAAATGTTGAGAGAGTTTAAGTGTTGAAATAACAATAAAAATCCCTAAGTGTCCCATGACTAAACTGTATAAGTGCAGGGTTTTGTTTTGTGTCCATAATCAAAACTTTAATCTACAACAACCCTTACCAAAATTTGTTCAGGGTAAGACTGTGGCATAAAACAAATTTATTGGCTTAGAACTTGAATCTGGATCAAAGATTGTCTGTTTCCTCTGCTAAGAGATGACTAAAAAACAATTTTGTCTTGGATAACAAACTGTTAGTGGTGAAGCTATTTTTATATGCCAGCATTTTTGATGTTTTTAAAATCAAAGCCTTGTGTAATTCAAAATGATGGCAAACATCCTGTTAAGTATAAAATGTATGTATTCAGTAGCACCATTGTCACTTTATTTCTCTCACAAGTCTCTGTATATCTCCCATCCTGTAGCCGCTATTCTGCAATTCCTGCAGCACAACAGAAGCTCTGGCAAGCACCTCTTCCTCCACCCGCATTCGTGCCTCTGTGCACAGACACCTTAGCAGAGTGTGGCGCCACACACACAGGTTCTCCTCCTGAGCGGGAGGGAAGCGCTCCACAAACTCCACCTGTCACAAAAAAAAGCACTTCATCACATTTATGAATGCACCATTTTGCTATCTACAAAACAAAGACAAAACAACGGTGGGAACACAAATAAACTATATTACAAACTCATCAATGTTCGGAGGAAGCTTTCCTGCAGAGTTGCGTTCATATTCTTAATCTGGACAATAGAAAAAGAAACTAACCTGGTGCTTGGGTGTCATGAGAAATAGCAGACGTCTAAGCAGCAGGGCCAAGTGAAACATCTGATAACCCTCACCAGGACATGACCTTATCTAGACAGTACAACAATACACATCATGGAAGTAATTAGTGGACGACTAAAACCTGAGAATTTGCTCAGACAATGTTCAAACCAAGAGAACTTGAAGAAAAAAAACTTGTCTAAACACTCTCCAAAAATTCAATTACAGTCATCCAAAAGAATATGCAGTCATCTTTAAAACGGTCAATAGATTTAGAAACTGAAAAATTAAATTATCAGGATAGAGGATAGGACAAGTACAGATGTATAGTTAAATAGATGTATGGTTTAAAATAAAGACAAATTTGGACTTTCTCTAGTTGTCAAATGTAAAGAACACATATGTACATACATAAATATTTAGACCGTTCAAAAAATAAGATTTTTTTTGGGGGGGAGGGGGGAGAAATTAGTATTTCGACAAGGATTCATTAAATTGCTCAAAAATGACATTAAAACATTTTTTAACGAAATAAAATATTTCAATTTCAAATAAATGCTGTTCTTTTGAACTTTCTATTTATCAAAGAATTCTGGAAATTGCTGATGAAATTTCAGCTTTGCCATTACAAGAATAAATCACATTTTGAAATATATTAAGTTTGTTTATATACGTTTAAGTTTCTAAGTTAATATTATTGTTTTTACTGTAATTTTTATCAAATAAATGCAGACTTGGTAAGTATAAGAGTCCTTTGTGTGTGTGTGTCCATAAACGTATATATAACCCATAGAATTTAAGTTGTTCATCTAACACTTGTAATAATTAAAAAATATTTGCAATAACACCAACCACACAAGAAAAATAGCACAAGACTGCTGTGATAGACAGGTGAGTTCTTCCCCATGTTCATTTTGACACCAAATGTCAGCTCAGTCAAGGTGTAAGAGAGAAAAAGGGTTGCCTGTGGTTCCTCATCCCAGACAGGTTTCCAGAAAACCACAAGAGCACAAAAAAGGTCACATTCCCAGCACACTCCCCACTCACCAGGTGAGCAATAAGGAGAACATGATGAAAACACAACTCAGCCGTGCCATACCTGAAGAGAGACAGAAAGAACACAACTCTGATATTGTATATAAACATGTTTTTCTTGCATTCTTTAGAGCAGTAGATGTTTTCCAACTTGTATAGACACAGGTCTCAGTAGAGCATGGTTATCAATATTATTTAGGGGGTTTTATAAAGTATTGAATGACTCCTAAACCACAATAACAAAACTTTAGAAATGTATACTTCTAAAAAGGTTAAAAACAGGAATGTCTCTGATTGTTCATGCTTGGCGTCTCTGTGACAGCTCTGGAAAGTAGTAGTCATAGAAGTCCGATGGTCTACACACATGGGTGTGTATCTATACTTACCGTGCCAGGAAGCACCAGACATCTGTGGCCAAGACAGCCGTCTGCGTGTCTGCCTGCAATACGGCGGCTAATAATGACCGCTCCTGAAAGAAGAAAACAGAGGACAACAAGATTACATGATGGTTTTTCCTATTTTCTGATGAAATGTCTTAAGTACCAGCTATTTGTCACTTGGCCAGTTTAAAATTATTTCAGCATTATTATCCAAAGTAATTACAAGAATAGCATAAGAATATAATTATGTCAAGACTTATATCAAGCTAAAACATGACTTGTCTTTTCAAAACAAAAGATTTTAAGTACATTTTATTTGTCACATCATCCAGAGAGAAAGATCAAGCTTTGTTATACAACACTTGAACAGAATTCAATAAATTAAATAAAAAAGATCACTGACCAATGGAGCGAAGTGTTGAGTGGGCAGAACAGCCACACAAGCACACATATGCACACACACATATTGGTGCAGACTGACTCTACCCTGAGCCTGCCCTCGAAGCATTACTCCCGGCAACCACACCGGCACGGCACGCTCCAACATACACCGCCGAAAACTATGCAACACTGCCTCAAACACAGACCATCTGTGGAAAGAAAGACTTTTTGATGGCATTATGTACTTGAGCCAAAAATACTAGACTGGACCTAGAGAAAACAAATCTTGATTTAAGTATGCACCATTTTCACATTTCCAGGGTTGAAAAGCATGTGGTAAACAACAGCCGGATAAATGACAAAGATGATGTAAAGTAACTATTTTTTTTCAGCAAGGATTTATTAAATTGATCAAAAGTGAAAGCAAACTTTTACATTGTTACAAAAAACTAATTTCAAATAAAAGTTTTATTTAAATACTTTTGATCTTTCTATTCATCAAAGAATCCTGAAAAAAAAAATTATTGAGCACCAAATCAACATTACAATAATACAATCAATTACAATAATATTTCAAAATATTACTGCTTTTATTCTTTTTTATGAAATAAATGCAGCTTTGGTGAGCATACAAGACTTCTTTAAATATTACATATAATATTTAAATATTACAAAATCTTGCTGGCCCCAAACTTTTTAACAGCAAAGAACAACGAAAGCCCATCTTATTGCAGCATTAAATTTTATCAATAAACGCCAAGCCAATTCGGGGAATTATTGCATAATTATTGATGCTAAAACTCATAATGATGCTCAACTGACTAGTTTGCCAATTTCATCCTGCCAAATTATACAAGTGTAAAATACCTGGGAGTTTCCTCCGAAAACTGACTGCCATCACTCCACAGCTGCAGCGCCTCCTCTGGCTGGGAGGAGAGTTTACCCAGTACACTCACCAGTAGCAGACACTGTGGTAGACAACATTCTGTACTGCACTCTAAAATACACAAACAACAAGAAATACAAATTGGTAATTAAAAAAAAAAAAAAGTGTTTAAGAAGACTAAAATTAAAAATTTGTTCCCACAATTTATTAGTGACCTTGTTTGATTAATTTGCTCTCTTGTTTTAGGTAAAGTGATGTCATGTATTAATTTGTTCCCTTATTTTAATTTAGTTAACTCTTAGTCACGATTTTACTAAAGCAACAGAAAGAATTAGAACAACATGGCCATGATTTACCTATAACAAGGGAACAGATTAATATGTTGTGGGAACAAATACTTGTTTTTATCTGGGCAAAAATCCAAAACCTGTCAGACAGAGAGTGCAACTCCACATGTTGCAATGTTGGAAGAACTGCCCTGTAATAATGAAAAGTCATGAGCACTAATTCAGTTTAAGTGACCTGGAAATGCACAGGATATCCACTCAGCAATGTGTCATGGACAGTCAGTCTCTCTGCATTTTTTATATAACTGTGTCCTTGACATGAAAGAAATTCATCAGAAATTCATTCATTTCACTCACATTAAAAACAGAACAAAAACTTTAATGACCAGGTTAAGTGATGTATGAACCTTCAATGAACAAGCCAAAGATTTTTTAGAGGAAATGTTAAAGGAATGTTCCAAGGTTCAAGAGGACACTGGAAGTTGTTATAGTAGTTTGCAAGAAGAAGCTCACTGTGATCTGGGTCCAGGACAGATTCTGCAAAGGGTTGGAAGGAGAGCAGCTGTGTCAGCATGGCATGCATGGGAACCAGAACCGCCACTCTCAACTCCTCACTGAGGGCAGAGGGCACAGACGGGGCACACACAGAGGGGGGGAACTTGCTGAGGAGGGAAAAACCACAAGCTTAATTAGACTTAATAGACAAAACAGAGAGAGGAAAAATATGAAACTTTGACAAGATTTTAAAATCATGTTGCTTGAACTCCCTATGTTATAAACGTTGACCTTGCGCAATATATCTTTGATTTACCTGTGGATTTGGATATACAACTGGTGAAATCGACGGCATGACTTGGCAAGAAATGCTTTAAATTCCTATCACATGAAAAAAAATAAAAAAAAAACTGAAAATTATAACTATTTCGGACTATTAAATTCACTTTAACAGGTTTTAATGAATAACTTTAATTTTCCCCTCAGTTACCTTTGTGTAGTGGACTAATGTGTTGGCAAAAAACCTACACATCTTTGTTGCTTTTTGGAAAAGCTTGTATTCTGGACAGTGCACAATTTCCTATGACAAACAAAAGGAGGAAGTCAGATATGAGCTGACCTTTTATATAAAAACACTTTAGACTTGTCCAACAAAAAAAGTCCCTGGTGAATGTTTCAAGGTCACCATTATTGCAATTAAAAATACCACAGCAACCAATAAATAATCACCATCTCTGTAAAAAAAATGCAATGTATTAAATTTTAACCGATTATGAGCCTACCTGTAGGCCTGCCTGTTGGATCTGTTGGGCCAGCTCAAGACAGTTCTGGACAGATGTACACAGGTCTTCACACAACGAGAAGGCTATGTCAGTGTGGTGAAGCCGATCTTCTACAAAAGACTGGTATTTTACGCTCTGTCTGAAATCAAACACAAACTGTCAGTACATAAATTAACATTATTTATTTTTTCATAGAGATTTTAGATTGAATAATTAAGTATTAGGTGCTATTTATAATGTCTGATCGATTTGGGACAAGAAGGTTTTTTGACTGTGTAACATTTATCTAGTAATAAAAAACAAAAAAAACCTGGACTCAAGTTACTGGCATTTAAATCATGCAGCAAAAGTGAGACTTTCCTTTTTACTTCAGGACATAAAATTCCTCTTTATATGCAACATGGCCATAAAAAATGTATTTCTATTAAAAGCAGATATAAGGTTTCATGATGCACATTAAACTCACTTTACGATAAATTTCCATGTGTTGGCATGTAGCGCAATGTCCAATCTGGATATGATCGAGCATATGTCCAGCAGACTGTGAATCACTGCAAGCCAAACACAAAATTCAAAATAACTACTGAAAAGCAAATCCACCTCTTCACTGGAGATTTCTCACACAGATACCACAAACCTGTGACAATATCCGACACTTCCTCCTCAGAAGCAGTGTCCTCCAAGTTAATTTTGTCCATGAGTTCCATCAGGCCCTTCTGCAAAGAATAGGCCTCTTTAAACAGGCCCTGAAGCAGATCGCCCACCATTGACAGCCTTCCACTGTACATGACCTCACTGTCCTATAAACACATCAACACCATACTGAAATTTACAGAAAATAAAATCCTCTGCATAACCACTAGTGTGTGCACTATGACACACTAAAACAGACAACAGCCTTTTTGGTGTACTCACAATCGATGGCTGATAGTGTAAAAATATGTCCAGTGCATTATATAATAATAATGTTGTACCTTGCAGTGCTGGAAGGTGTCCTTTAGGACTCTGAGGATGCAGGAGGGCAGAGAGCGAATGGCATGAAAGGAGACAGACTCTACGAAGGAACAGACATGACGCACACAGCCAGAGAGAGACTCCAGGGTCTGGACCATCATCTGGCAAAAACACAACAGCAGAAATCACTATGACCAGCAAATGAAGAAATTTTAATTTCAATTTCAATATGGCATATTCAAACCTTCAAGATATTTCTCAATAACACATGTAGCTCTGTGTTCTGACTAGAAAGGCCTCCAATTTGCTTGCCGATTTCTTCCAAAAGACTGGCAAACACTTTTACCACCTGTGGATCGTACATGACAACACATGAAAATAGGCTTCCTGTTGAATACTTCAGGCTATAGAATTGAATTGGCACGAGTACCCGATACTCGAAAGTGACAGCAATGATAAATCATGAAAATTAATTACTTTTTTTTTTTCTGATTGGCTATGACAGCATTTTGGGAGGTACCTTGTCTGACTGCTAAGCATTCAGACAGCATGCTGTCCAGACCAGAGAACTAAAGTGAAACAAAGGCTTTGAAGTGCACAATGATGTCTAGAATCACTCTGTTATATATGAATATATAACACTCATATACAGGGCCGTTTCTAGGCATAGGCAAGCTAGGCGGTCGCCTAGGGCGCCACCAGCTGAAGGGGCGCCAATGAGCGCACGTATGTGGAACTCAATGCACTGAATCTCCACAAATTAGTGTCATTACTATGACAACCAATTTGAATGTGACAAGCAACTGGTGTCTGAAAAGAATTATATATATATAATTTGGGGGGGGGAATAGGGATTTCGCCTAGGGCGTCAAATTGGCTAGAAACGGCCCTGCTCATATATAATGAATTAATCAATCCACTACCAATTTTACCGGTGTTTATTCACTTTTCAGCTCATGCAACGCGAGACATAATTCATTACAACTGTGTTGTTTGAAACAATCTTATTCCTTTCATCTTTTGCATTTAAAAAAAATGGATTAATAATTATAACTAGCGGTGTTATTTTTTGAAATTATTTCCATTAACAGTGTGTTTTATTTAAAATTGTTTCATTATCATCATGATACCTAGAGTACTCAAGTTCTTTTTTTAAATGAGCTACCAAGTACTCAAATAGAAAAAATGAAAAAATGCTCTTCCCAACTATAAAACCAACATTTTGTGGGAATTTAATTCTCAAACCTTGGGTAAGACCGTGGAAAAACATCCCGTCTCTAATTCAGATAAAGAAAGATGAGGGAGGAAACTGCTTGTGATTATTTGAAGAATATCTGTGGAGATGGAATCATGGAGAAAATCAACAAAGTAGGTTATACAAATAAAATATTTATTGAGATTTGTTTAGAGGTCCACTCAAGATATGCCAGGTCTAAAACAATTACATATTGAAGACAGCTCAGACTTACTTGTGTGCTCTTCCCAGCTGTCAGTGTCATGATGCATGGCGTTCAAGTGTCAAGGCCAATCTTAATCATAATGTTACATAAATGACACTAAGGTAGTCCTAAACAATCAAATACATGTGCACATTCATACATTGCCTTAGACTACAAGTAAAATTAATTTGTGAAGTCAGGAAAGGATATAACTAGTTTGGGCAGGACCGTTTTGAGTTCTTGTTGACAGGTCTCCTGGTTCCACTGAGAGACCTCATCCAAAAGGGTCACTTGAGACATTGTGGTCACGTTTTTCAAAACACACCTGCATTGACAACAAAGTTGTAACTTAAATCGATTTTATATATTTACTAAAATACCTCACCGATAAATCTACGTCCAAACGTGTTTTCGTAGTAAAAATTAAGTTAACTTACTTTATTTATTCAATTTGAAGGTAAAACTAACTCAACTAGCTTCATACACATTTTTAAAAACTATTATCTTCTTAGAACTTACCGACTTATTCAGAGGGAAACAGTAGCGATTAATAAACGCGTTTATGTGATATTTATGGACAATAATGAGATCTTGTACACATATTTGGGTCTTCTGTTTGAGTTCTCCTCCACATTTCCTTCTTCTGGGCGATTTCATTCGTCAGCACTACATGGGGTTTCTTTCAGAAAACGAAACCTGTTGGATAACTGTCCTAAGCGCTATGTGTGCCTATTTAACGCTACACAAAGTATATTTCCTCATTACGTTTGTATTCGTTTTACGAGTGTACGTCAATAACAGTACAGCGCTTACGAACACCCCTCTAAAAGTGAATTGGTATCGCTCCCAACTTCGCGCCGTTTTCTTTGAGGTGAAGTGTAGTTTAGTTCATCTCATTTACACCGCACTCTACGGTGATTGGTCAGAATATTCTATACTTGTTGTATGACCCAATCACAAACGAAATGTTACTGAATCGATGTACAAGGCGCTGACGCCGCGGAAACAGCTTTATGGTGATTGATTGCAAGTGCTTTGCTTTTACTACAAAGTGCTGGAAAAGCATTCTGCCCAGCTCAGGCAGATGATGTACGTTTTCCGGTTATATAATTGTTGCATAATAAAACACTAAAGCAAACGCACACCATCCGAGGTGCATGTCAAAGATAACATATCTGTATAAAGGAGATAAGACCGCACACTCACTTGCAATATTCAGCAACGTTTCATTCAGTAAATGAGTGACGCCTCGTGGGCCCATGCTGAGAGGCACAAAATCTCTTTCCTTTATCTTTTTCGTTTTCTTTCGCTGTTCCACACTGGTGGAATTACCTACTTAACTCCATCCGGAGAATCGAATCACTCAAGAAGCAACTGAAAACTAATCTCTTCCATGAGCACCTAACTGCCTCCTAAAAAAAAACATTTTTCTCTTTTTCTATGCTCCTATTTTCCCTTAATATCTTCCGGTGCTGGCTTTTGTTTTGAACAATGACTGAAAACCTGTATAACGGGCACTTCTCATGTTTATTGCCATCTCATGATGGATCGCATGTTTTCCTCAACTAGTTGCTTTGAATAAAAGAATGCCAAATAAATGTAAGTGCAAATGTATATTAAAGGGTTAGTTCACCCAAAAATGAAAAGTAGCCCATAAATTACTCACCCTCAAGTCATCCTAGGTGTATGACTTTCTTCTTTCAGACAAATCCAGTCAGAGTTATATTAAAAATCGTCTTTGATCTTTCAATAAGAAAAATATCCATATTCAAAACGTAATAATCACTTTAATGTAGCTTGCGCCAACAAAACTACTTTTTTTTTTTTTTTGCATATGAACATAAGAGAATTACAATGTTGCATATAAATGCCATCAGCACATTACAAGTAAAATAACAAATTTGCCAGAGGAATAAAGAAAAAAAACTAGCACAATAATGAAGACAGTACAGTTTACTTGTTTATTTCAAATTTGCAGATAATATTAGAAGTCCTGAGAGATTTTTTTTGTTGTTTTACATTTATATACCATATTGCAATATTGTTGAAATCCGTTGATAAAATGAAAAAAATTTGGCTTACCACCCGACCACTTCATTTTATGTATATGAAACTTCCCCATTACAACCAGTAATTTAATATACGCTTTATCCTTTTCTATCCCATAATCATTAACATATATCATTATATCAGACCCACCCAGTTTAACAGCTGTATTAAGTTTTCTTGTAATGAAATTCTCGACATCAACCCAAAATATCTTTGTATAAATGCAATGAAAAAATAAATGAAAAATAGTTTCTTTTTCTTTACCACAAAATTCACAAGAATAGTCAATATTCAATTTAAAACATTCCAACACGTTTCACTGGATAAATTCTATGCAATATTTCTTATACGAAACTTCCTTTACTTTATTAACAAAGAACTTATCAACCATTCTCCAAGCCTTACGCCAATTTAAATCTCCAAATATTGATGACCAGAAAAATCTAGCTGGAGGATATGTAACATCATTTACTACATTTCAAATGTATTTATTTGGTACGTTGTTTTTTTAAAATATTAATATTTCCCCCAAAAAAAAGTGTATTATAATTCAGATTAGGGTTTTTACTGCATTCTTTTAAGACGACAACACTTTACTAGGTATAGCACTTGCGCCAACAGTTGTACACTGATGCAGCTCCGGGCGAATGACATGAAGTCGGCTTTGCGCATGCGCCGCTCAGAAGTGACTAACACGGAAGTGCAGGGGAGAGATCAAAACAAAACAACGGTCACTAATTAAAAGTACAAAATGAGGATTTGTAAAGAAGATCCTCTAAAGGAGGATTTCATATAAGCCAAGAGGAGACTGGTTTCCTTTGCTAAAGGAAACTTTGCTTCCTTTGCTCCTGTTAACAAACGTTGGTTTTCACGAGACTCACCAGCACATGCGCAACGTTGAACTCATACATCATTCGGCCGGAACTGCTTCCGTTTACAACTGTTGGCGCAAGCTACATTAAAGTGATTAAGTTAAGGATTTTTACAAAAAATAAAAAAATAAATAAAATAAAATCTATAGGATGCCTTTGTTCACCCCCCGGAGCCGTGTGAGACTTTTATGGATGGGCACTTATTTAACTTCTTTTGGACTGACGCATCCAACACCCACCGAGTGACATTAAACAGCTTGAAAGATCAAAGAATATTTAATGTAACGCCGACTGGATTCATCTGAAAGTCATATACACCTAGGATGATTTAAGGGCAAGTAATTTATGGGCTAATTTTCTGGGTGAACCAACCCTTTAAGGGATTTTATTAACATAGCCCACATGTCAACAGAAGCTGAACCCATATGAGACTATTAAATCCCAGAACGATTTCGTGGTTCAGACCCACAAAAACATCCAAACACTTAAGTACTTAAATCTTTATTTACAAAAATTAAATAACATTTTTGGCTTTAAGTTGGATCTCCCAGACCTGGAGAGGGCCAACCTGGGCTTTTCCCTCCCACTGGAAACCTGTGGTGATAAGATGGAGGAAACCAGTCAACAAAGCCAGGATAAACCTTCAGATTTGGAGCTCAGTTGCATGCAATATACCTGGAACTTTGGTTAAAACGCTATCTGTCCTCAATCCACAGCTTGTGTCACAGCAGCCACATACCTCATTACTTCCATCAGAAGAGACCCATCTAAAAACACATACTTTTGTAGAGGATGTATTTTATACAGAACATGTAGTTGCGTCACCCACCCAGACTCACCCATTTGCTCTAAAAGAACAAGACTTATGATTTTCGTCAACCTGTGCCGAAGCTGCACTTGCTTTTAGAAGACAGGTGATGTAAATCTGCAAAGATAGGCAACAAGAACTTTAAAGTACTTGGGGGTACATACAAAAAAAAAAAAAAAAAAAAATTATATATATATATATATACACATACATACAGCACCACTGCTTTCTTGTTGGAACCTAAAGGCCTCCAACTGAAACTGGAGTTTGTCATCTTGCACTCTGGGCAGAAATTTGGAGATGGAGCCTGTATACTTCGCATCAGTGAGGCAACTGAAACACCAAGAGGTTTCATGAGGATCTTGATTCCCACACTTATGAGAACGGTGTAATGTTCTTACCCATGATTTTCAATAAAAGAATACATTGGAGCGGATTTCACATTAGGGTCCCTAGTGGCAACACAGTTGTCCACAAATATACGAAGGGGAACATGGTTGTACTGCTTCACAGATGCCTGAATATTTAAGACATCACCCAGGAAGAAAACGTTCGAAGGCCTTTCAAACATCCAGTCATCTTTAAAAAATAAAAAAAAATAAAAATTAAATACTGATGAAAATATAAATATACCACCAATATAAAAGAAAAACGAATACCACCAATATAAAAGAAAAACGAACCAGTCATGATCTTCAGGGAGAAAGCCAGAATATCCTCTGCAACCTGGGTGGACGCATATGGGATCCAAGCTGGCTGCACTTCGTTACTGCTCACATTGTGTCTCCTGTAATGAAATGCTCATTCAGGTCCAAAAGTCTTGAATTGTAAAATTACACTAGTAATGCAAGTAAAGAAAACCCTTGACCTGGGGTAGTGGCATTTAATACCAACTGTAGCACCACTGGACCTTACGATTGGAGTGCTTTGGAATGCTGCTGGTCTATAATCAAGGGTAAAGATATAGACAAGCTCATTCTCAGTCACCTGCAAGAGAGAAGGAATTTAGAAGCTGCTGAATACGCAGGACGTTGGCAAGGAGTAAATTCACAACATGGTTAAAAAGCCAGAAGACACACCATAAACTGACTACCACACTCCTGAAGTGCAGAGTGAAAGATCAGGACTTTGGCAGCTGCATCCACGTTCACTACAGCACAGCCCCCTAGAGATAAAAGAGAGGGCTCAAGCAGCTGGCCAGTACCAAAGAAGTCCTGCTTCACTTCCACATGCACCCCATTTTCCCAACACTGGACTGCTACACTGTCGGAAGGTCTAGGCTGCTGCAACTTAAAGTTAAAATCTGGCTGTACTGGCTCTTCTTGGACCTTTGGGAACTTCCAGACCAGCTCCTTGACTGGGCCCAGCAATTCTTGTTTGGACTGAATACTTGAAGGTGCCAGATTTGAAGTAAGCGGGGCCTGCTGGGGCCTACGAAATAGAACTCCATTAGAACCTTGGATTGAATTCCACTGCTCCCTAAGCTGAGAATCAACACTTTGAGGTTCTTGCATCAGCACCCGGGGATGAAACACTAGAGCCTTTAGCCTGGCACTGTACACATGATCAAATGCAACCAGCACTAAAAGCCCAAGCACACATTGCATAAACCCCATTATTACAGCCACCATATTACCACACAGCCACACTGGAGTAAGGTGTTGTAGCACTATTTTATAGTGCCATGAATACTATCCCCACCCACCCCCAAACAAGCTTAATTGCTATGTGGACCATCCTAATCACAGAATCAATGCCTCGGCTGCATTGAAGTTCACTCATCAAGCCCCGCAAACAAAGCAAAAGTAAACTATTTAAAAAAACAAGGGAAACATTTTAGTGCTTTTGTTTTAAGATATACAGTATTTGATCTAAGTTTTTGACAGTTATCTTGGGGATAGAGATATTATGAATATTTCTTACATCGTTAATATGCTCTTATCTCCACCACAAAAAGTTGGTTTGAATGGCTGCACATCTTCAACGTCCTCATAATCATCTTAATTTGTGATGAAGACTGACTGACTACAGCATACATTTAGATGAATGAAAATACTCCAGTGGTTCCTGTAAGTGAGTTCAGGAACAGGGAGCTACACATTCCTACACTCATCAAAGTAATTACCAGAATACTGTCTGGAGAGCATACGCTGGCTGCCAATATTGTATTCAACTACACCTCTCTACTTCAAAGTGAAACTTTCAGTTTTTTTCTTTAAACATCCTTAACAGTAAGTGCAAACACATGTGCCAACCTCATGCTAAGGGAAACAAAAGCCTATTAACAGAAGGCTATGATGGCGATAACATCTAGAGGAACTTCCAAATACATCACTATTATGTTCAAACAGACTCTAAACGTATCACGGGAAGACAGGAATTTCACAGGGAAATTAAAATAATAAATAACCGCACTTTATGTTGTTCAGCCTTACTACATAGTTTGTTTCTAAATAAAAATAATACTTACCTTGAATTAAAATTAATTACTACTAAAGCTGTGGCATTGACACATATCAAACCTTTTTTCCTTTTTGAGAAGGCCTCTGCTAAAAATCAAAACACTTGGCACCTTTCAGGATCATTTTATTTGAACAATGAATACACCATTTAGTGTAAATAATAGTTTTTCTGTGTAAGCTCTCTCATTTAACCTTTTAATGGAAATAGACAATGAGGGTCATATTCAGGGTCTCACGGTAGGCTAGAGGAAACTGGTAAGGGTTTTAACTTAGAAACAGGATGGAAAAATCACTTATGTTCAAAACACATGCCATGTCTAAAATAAGATCCATATGCACTATAATTATATAAATGTAAGACTTTACACAATAATGGGCCTTTACAATTTAATTGTAATGGTGACTGATTCAGTAAAATGTTTTTTTTACCAAATATGGATCCATAAAAATGTGTATGCTTGTATCTCAAAGCCAAATTTCTCAACGAAGTCCAGTAACAAGTTAATTAGACATACCATGAATCATAGACACGTTAGACCTCGCTATCAAGGTCAGCGATCTAACCTCAACTTTGACACTGCTGACAGATCAGTGAACATTTATTAACCATCTCATCAGCATAAATTTTTATCCAAATGAAAATAAGGGAATAAAAAATAAGCTGAAGTGCTATCAAACTGTGTACTTTCACAAAATATTCATGCCCATTTAAAGTGATCAATTTAGTCTTTTATTCCATAATGATTTCATAGTCTTTGAAGACAGATTTTAGCTTTTCCACTGTGACAGCATGGTCAGCCTTCCCATATCCCTAGAAGAAGGAAAGATATGTGAGAAAAGATATGTCTCTTTAAAAGCAAGCTTTGACTCAAAACACCAAGAACATGCCTAACATTTATTTCTTTAAAAGCTAGGAAAGAGCCACAAACATTCATGCTCAAAATTGTGCACTTATTTTAATTCTCTGGGGTTTGTTCCCTTTACATACCGAGTCTATTTTAAGCATATTAAAGGGTCTCGTTTTAATTAAGATATGTGATCTGATGAAATTTACTTGATATAAAAAAAGATAAACATCTGTATAGTAGGCCCACTTCTACCTTTTGCACCTCTATGAAACAGTAGTTGTTGCAGGTGTTCATGTAACCTTAAGCTATAACCTTATTTGATGTCACAATATTAAGTGGTTGTAATAATGGTTAATGGTGTTACCGTAGACTCTCCAAACACTCGAAGTTTCTTTTCTGTGTTGTTGTGCTCTATCTTGCCGCCACCAAGACAACTACACTCCAGTCCCAAGGCCTCCATAGCAGAATTCACTTTTTCAAATATGTGATCTTAATAAAAAAGCTGAGTGATGTAGTGAGAAGGATGAATAGGACAAATTAACCATTCCATAAATAATACCCATGATGTTTATTTTGAGTTTCAGTCTTGAGCCTGTCAAGATTTTGTATTCAACTAAACATATTACTACTACAGCTAGTACTAAATCTTCTTCACAATTTAGCATCTCAATCCAGCTGCAAAATCAATATGCAATTATACCAGTCAATCGTTTTTACCAACGTTTTTATGTTGACACGTTACTTTCCTACAAGATATGTTTTCCTCAGTGCCCATAAACAGTGAGGAACAGAATGGACGTAACTAGTTGATTTATAAATACTACTGAGCTGAAGTTAAGGATAAAGTTAACTCGCTGGCTTGCAGAGACAGACAGTCACGTTATTGCACTTGCAAGCGTGCACACTTACTGTGGTACTCCGCAGTTTTAGTTCCCCTCACTATCACTTTTTGTTCCGTTCCACCTTTAACCTTTATGTTCACTAATATGTATTTAAACTTTCCCTCTGGATCAATGTCGATGTCGGGCACTTTGCTCAGAGCGTCTGCCATCTTCGCTGTGGCAGCGGAACAGGCGAACCTTATACAGTCCTCACGCATGCCAGTATGCGATATCAGTATCAACAGACGCTAGTACAAACCGGAAATACGTCATAAAAATAACACGAAAAAAATATAAAAACGGAAATTATAATGAATAAATATTGGTAGAAACTTAAAGTAAAGAAAAAATGCTTTTGGATAAAAGGGGAGAAACTATCAATTGGAGTAAATTACTTAGTACAAAATAAAAATTCAGGTATTTATTCTTTTATTATTATTATCTGGTTCTTCATACAGTTTATGTCAAACTTGAAAAAAATTAGCATTATTGTCAATGTGACATTGTGCTTGTTATCTCCCTCTCAGCACTCCTTCCTTTATACAGACCTGCGGACTTTCCCTCTCAGCCCACACCAGCATAGCTAGCCTACTGTGACTAATCATCAAAATAATAATTGTTGTGCTTCTTGTTTTAGCACATTTTTCCATGTTGTTAATCTAGAATAAAAAAATCCCAAATAAATGCCATGAAAGATTAATGAAAGAGGATCATCTTGGAGTAACCAGGATGCCGTGAATTTTCACCAAGATAGGCCTATAAAATAATTGTTTGTTTGTTTTGTGTGCCTTCTTTGTGTTATGTGAAGGTTTTTTAATCTTTGATTTGATCAATTTATCAATTATTGCTACATTTCCAATGCATTTTATGTATAGATTTTATTATTTAACCCTTGTCACAGACTTTCAATCATAAACTGAATTGAAATCTATCACAGGCCCAAAAAAAAACTGACAATCCAAAGCACAATCAGTGACCATTTCAGTATTTATAGTGTGAAAATGTTTTGTTTTTACTGGTGATTGTCCCTCAGTTGTGACATCATTTCTATCAGATCCATTTTCCCCAAATAAAAAAACATCAAGGTAAATATCATGTAGGGGTGAATTCAGGTAAACTGGGACACTTTTTGCCACTGAGATGACTGGGAAAAATGTCCTAATTAACCTGAAGTTTTTTTTATTGTGCACCTTTTCCTAGCAAGCTGTACTTTTGAAACATAGAAAGTCAGCCTTTTTTCAAACATTTTTCAAATGTTATTTCCATCATCATCATTTCCACAGGTCCAATTTTAATTAATTTATTCTGCTTCAAGCTCAGTCTAATATACATGTGATAACTATAGCATTGATCCACTCTGATCATTTAGGTCAATAATAATAATAATAATAAAAAAAAAAAGAATAGAAACAAATCATTCTTAACTGCATGGAGATGTTTATATCAGATTTGTTTATAAATAGAAATGTTTGTATGAGCTTTAAAATTATTTATCTAGATTATAATTATCTAGATATTAGATAAGTTAGCTATCACAAATTATTTTGACACACATTTATTATTATTCTTTTCTCTTTGCTCACTGATTTTCCGGTGCCCTCATGGCAGCTATTTCCATAACACGGAAGCTGGTACAACTCTGTGCAAACACATTAAACAGAGTGGCATCCAAAAAGGGTCAAGGTCATACAGAAATCAAGTGGCAAAAACTCAAACTTCAAAACGAGAAACCTCTGGGGATCTTAAGTACAATAACAGCTTTAAAACAAAGGAAATTGGAAATAGGCCAGATAGTTTAATAATCGAACAAATGTGTCTCATATACAATGCTTCCTGTCTTACTTTTGATTTTTACTTTTAAATATAATTGTGAATATTTTTATGGGTGTTCCTTGTAATACTTTATAATAAGTTATTATTATTATTACTTTTGTATAATATCAGTTTGTAGAATTAATTCAATGTCTTAAAATTGTATGGTGTATTTTGTCATGACATTTACAAAGAGTAGAAAAAGTCACCATTTATTTTATTTCCACGTAACTGGAAAGATACAGTAAAGGCGCCAATGGAATAATTACTGGCAACAATTCCTAGTGATTCCCCTCTTGACACATATTGTATCCCCTTTTCCTTTATAAACAGAGCTGAAGATATTCACAGAAAATGTGAGTGTTTCTGCCATTAGATCTCCCTGTTGACTTTTTTCGCACCAAAAAGTGAATGTTGTAATTGTATACACAATAATTAGTTAAAAAAAATGTCATGAAATTGTTATTTCTATTTATGAACATACTGTGAAAATATGCAGTCATCCTGCTGTGGCCGTATCAGCACCAAAAGCTCTATTTCCTGAGAGGTCACTTCCTTGCAAACTAACGCCTTGAGAGTATAAAAAATGAAAGTGTTTCCTCCTTGCGTAGTGTTAGAGAGGGGTATTTCCAGAGACTAGAATTCCATTGCTTTTACTGGCTGATGTCACAAGGATCCGGGAAGGGGAGTCCTAAACCATAGCTGAGCTCATATAAATGCCAGTGATTACCAGACCAGGTCCTCAAATCAGAACCATCATATTAGTGGAGAAGTACAGAGACGACCATTAACAGGACCATTTCATATCTGAACATCATTGACAATGGTACGTAAAGCATTTAAAATATGCATTTCTATAATTTTAGTATCAATAAATATTATGTTCATCCCACTGATATAATCCTTTAATTTTGCAGGGCATCTTCAACAAAGTACCATTGCAATTTTTTGCTTCCCTTGTTCTTATTTCTTCAGGTAAGAAAGCAAACCATACTAGTGTAAATAAATAAATACAACCTGTAAACATAGTTCACTCAAAGTTGCAATGGTTTAATTCTGCAGTGTTAAACGTATGGAGAGGCACTGAAGGCTGGTCATACCATTACTCAACAATCACTATGAACTGGGAATCTGCCAGACACTGGTGCAGGCAGCATTACACCGACATGGTAGCCATCCAGAACAAAGATGAGATTGATCACCTCAACAGTATCCTTCCAAAAGTCAATGGATATTACTGGATAGGCATTCGTAAAATTAATGGCATTTGGACCTGGGTGGGAACTAATAAGATGCTTACCAAGGAAGCTGAGAACTGGGCAGATATGGAGCCCAATAATGGAAGGAATAATGAAGACTGTGTGGAAATATACATTAAAAGAGTGCCAGATGAAGGCAAATGGAATGATGAATCCTGCTTAAAGAAGAAGACTGCACTGTGCTACACGGGTAGGTAGTCTTTATGTGGTCAGGGACCCCTATAATACAGGGGAGAAAAATTTTACAAGGACCACCTCATAATTCTAACAGTGATTAAGCATATGCCTACTAAAATTTGTACTCTCAGATGCCATTGTAACTTCTAGATTCCATCTTTTTTCTGTTTTGATTTTTCTGTTTAAATGGTTAAATTAAACAATCAAAAAGCATGTCTGATATGGTATGATTTCATTAATTGAAATCACAAAACTTATAAAATTTAACAATTTATTAACTTATTATTTAACTATTACTTACATTTTTGTCATACAAAGTGGTGCATAAAAATTCTGCTACTTTTGATTTATGCAAGGTTTGCCAAATTCCGTGACATTCTGCATTACAGTCAATTCCATTTGTATGACCACATTTTTCCCATTGGGGAAATCATACAGCCCTAACATTATTTTGCAGACCCCCTGTCTATGGGTAGCGGACCCCACTTTGACAGCCCCTGTTGTAAGGTGAATGAAAAATGAATTAATCAATGAGTAATTATCCATTTTTTTATTTTTCAGCATCCTGCAAAGACGACTCCTGTGTCAGTGGTCAAGGAAAGTGTGTTGAAACCATAAACAGCCATAAATGCTCATGCTTTGGGGGTTTCTATGGAGACCGATGTGAACATGGTGGGTAATATTTTTCTAGATATTGTTAATATATCTATGTTGACAGTGAAAGGTGTGAAATGTAACCATTTTACCTGTTTTCTGATTTTCAGTTATAAAATGCAAACCGGAGGACGTCACCCCACCAGATCATGCTATTATCCAGTGCTCCCATCCTCATGAAGACTTCTCACATGACTCTGAGTGTGAATATTTTTGTGAGGAGGGTTATGAACTAAAGGGTTTCAGAACGACAAGATGCACTTCTACCACAGAGTGGTCAAGCAAACCACCAACCTGTGAACGTGAGTTGAATTTACGTTGTAAAATGAACGTGACACATTTGACCAGATGCTTTTTTTTAAAACACTTTGACATCTTTTTGCAGTTGTTCAATGTCCAGAGCTGACCAAACCACAGGAAGGCCGAATGCAGTGTCACCATCCAATGGGCATCTTTAGCTACCAATCCACCTGTGAGTTTTTATGTGTAGAAGGATACACACTGCGAGACTCCAGCTCCTCTACACTGTTCTGTGGGGCAAAAGGACGCTGGAACGATTCACAACCCACTTGTGAAAGTAAGACGGGTCTGAATTTACTTAGAAAAACTTCTATTACAATAGTTCAGCAGCAGTTCTGTTCATGGCTCTTTAACATCTCTGCTCTTGGAATTTAATGATAATCCCCTTTTTCTGATTTTCAGTTATAACATGCAAACCAGAGAACGTCACCCCACCAGATCATGCTAGCGTCCAGTGCTCTAATCCTCATGAAGACTTCTCATATGACTCTCAGTGTGAATATTTTTGTGAGGAGGGTTATGAACTAAAGGGTTCCAGAACGACAAGATGCACTTCTACCACAGAGTGGTCAAACAAACCACCAACCTGTGAACGTGAGCTGAAATTATATTGTGCAAGCAAAAAAGACATCTGATGTTTATTTTACAATTGCTCCTTGGAAAAACTCTTATGAAAACTGTCTGATCTGTTCATAAATTCCCCCCTTTCCTCCCAGTTATTCACTGCCCAGCCCTTGACAGTCCTGTAAATGGAGAGCTGAGTTGCACTTCCAGCTTTAATTATGGGAGCAAATGCAGCTTCAGCTGTGTTGAAGGATTCCGACTCCAGGGAGCTTCAGAGATCAGCTGTACAAAAACAGCAAGGTGGAGTCAGGAACCACCTAGCTGTGAAGGTAATCAACAACCTTTTGCCACATTTATGGATTTACAGGTTAATTTAATGTGAGTTTTTGTATTTCAAAAAATAAGTTTGCCTAAGTTCGCCTTTGTTTTTGTTTTTTTCAACTCTGTAGCAATGGTCTGCCCACAACTTCCTGAGCCAATCAACGGGCATATGAATTGCTCATCTGAAGAACCCACTTTTGGCACCGTCTGCATCTTCATCTGTCATGAAGGCCACCAACTTGAAGACCACAGTAACGAGATGGTGATGTGCAACTACAATGGGAGCTGGTCAGGGGAATTGGCAGTGTGTCAAGGTAAACAGCTGATATAGTGACTGTGGGATGAAGATATGTCATTTTGTTGATAAAATGAGAAAAGCATTCTACAGCTCATTACCTTTTATTTGTATTTTCAGCAGATCCCTCTGTATCACTCTTCAAAGTGACAGAAGTGACTCTTGGGGTTGCAGGCGCTATCAGTGGCTCCAGTCTGGGCTTAGTCCTCTGGATACTGAAGAGACTGAGGAGAAAAGGTGAGCCAAACAGTCTACTGAGTTTGTGAATAAGTTCTTCCATCAAATTCTTTAATAATATATTGAAAATTAATTAAAATGCTAAATTATGTTGTTTTGTTTTCAGCTAACAAATTTGACCTGAACAGGTAAGATATGTCTTATTTTGCAGTTATGTTTTTCTTGTGTCATTACTGTCATTATTAATCGCTTTTGGTTTACAAGACTATATCCTGTTTAACTCTGCTTTTGTCTATTTAATTTTTAGTACCTCGGATACTGAGGATCCACCACAGATTTATAAGAACAGTGTTGACAGTCTCATATAGACCAAAATAGCTTCAAATAGCTTACAGCATATACGGTGAGCATATATTCCTCATGCACATAGACAGGCCAGTGTGATAGCGATGTAACTTATTAAAGTGAACAATTCATTGAAAAACTGAATTAAACTTTATTTTTCACAGAACACACAACTGCCTTGCTGGACATAAAAATGAATGTCATCACAAATGATTTGAGACACTTGGATATTTTTAAACTCTGAGGGGCATTATCAGTTACTAGACAACAGTAACTGAATGTGATTTCTACTTCCCAATGGAAGCTTTAATTATTTACTTGACTGAACATATTGTTCTGTACTGTTTGAATGTCCTATTTTATGTTATTAATATACACATTTTTTTGTACTATTTATTGTTCCAAAACCGTATTGGTCCTATTAAACTATTTTAACATGTAAACCAATAAAGTGTGACATTTATGACATCATGACTTGGTGTTTGAATGCATTTTCCACTTTCAGATGAGCATCTAAAACTTTACAAAAGCATATATTTTCAACATCAAAGCATAAATGAACATTCAGTGTAACTGGTCATTCCATCTGTAGAATCATCAGCAGTAAATTTGAACCTAAATAAAAGCTGAAAGTGAAGTCACTGTACTCTTCCTTTATCTTTCCTCATTTGTAAGTGCATAAAGCTATTAGCATTTTTATTGCAGTGAAAGGTTTTGTTTAAATAACCCGGCCCAGGTCATTTTCATCTGGACGTGTATCCTGTGACTGTCAATCCTTGAAGCTGCATATAATCAGGGAGGGTTTTTTAAATGTATTTTTAATGAGTTAGCTTTTTCAGAAATACCTTTCATGAGGTTAAAACGTCTTTTGAATCATTATTGCCATAAATTACCCACATTTTATTATTTTTATTCTTTTTTAAATGTATCTTGAATGTGGTCTGATGTTGTTCTATTATCAAAATCATCTAATCATTATATGCATCTCAGCACCATTCTCTTTGTGCAAGGGTTGGGGTTGATTACATTGAAGTTGCTTAAATATGAATTTTAGACCATCGAAAATGGTCCAGGGTGAGCACCATTCACTTCCATTAGATGCAGAAAAATCCTGGAATGTTTTCCTCCAAAACCTTAATTTCTCTTAGGCTGAAGAAAGTACGACCTATAGGCTACATCTTGGATGGCCTAGGGATGAGAAAATAATCAGGAATTTTTCATTGACCTCCATTAAACTATTTGTAGAAGTAAACCAATAAAGTCTGACTTTAATTACGTCACGGGTGTTTCAATGCATTTTCCACTTTCATATGAGTGCCTAAAACTAGGCACTCATATGTATAAATAAATAGTCAGTGTGACTTATCTTTCCATTTGTAGAATGATCAGCAGTATATTTGTCTCAACACCTAAATAAAAGCTGGAAATGAAGTCACTGTTCTCTTCCTTTATCCTTCGTCACCTTTAAGTGCATAAAGCTATTAGCATTGTGAATGCAGTGAAAGGTTTTGTTTAAATAACCCAGGTTATGTTCATCTGGACGTATCCTGTGACTGTGTCATTCCCTGAAGCTGCGTATAAGGTAGTGTACGCTTTTTATATATTTTTAGTGAGTTATCATTTTCCGAAATACCTTTCAGAGGTTAAAGTGTCTTTTGAAGGATCTTTATCATTTATTAGCCACATTTTATTCTTTTTTAAGTATATGATAAGTGTGTTGTGGTTGGTGTTTGATATCCAAAATCATCTAATCATTACATGCATCTCAGCACCATTCTATTTGTGCAAGACAGAATTTTACAAAAAGATAAAAGAACATATAAAAGATAAGCAATTTCCAAAAAGTGGCATTCTTTCCCACGTTGTTACATAATGTTTACTCTTTCGAACCTGTGAAGAAACATCCTGCAATTTAATGCTAATGACTGATATATATGGTGGAAAAACCCACTTTGCCCACAGTTTTAGTGTACATTCATCATCCTTCCAGGATAAAATACATTTGAGAAAAACATTTAACTTTAACTTTCGATGTCCAACATTTTAGTCAATGTTGAAGGATGGACGTATCACTGGATGGACAACGAGACAATGACCTGGAGTGAGACAAGAGAGTGGTGTCAAAAACATTACACAGACATTGTGATGGTCCACACAAAGAAAATGTAACATGTTTCCTTAGAAAAAATTTGAAAGAAAAATCTTCATCTCCCTACTACTGGATTGGAATGCGAAAGATCAATGGCACTTGGACATGGGTTGCCAACGGACAGAGCGTGAACTATGAAAACTGGGCACCCGATGAGCCCAACAATAACCAGTCAGATGAGAACTGTGTGGAATTGTACATCAGCAGAATAAACAATAATGGAAAGTGGAACAATGACAGCTGTAAAAATCCTAAGCATCCTGTATGCCACAAAAGTACGGAGTTGGAGATGAAAGGTGCCTTACTTGTTCAATTAGTTTCATAATTTCCAGATAGAACACATTTTTTTTTTTTTTAATAACCTTCATGAGTCTAATAGAGATGTTTCTGAGAGAGAACATTTGAGTGTTTTACATAGTCCAGAAAGGATGTTTTTTATAAATCTATGCATTTTCTTTCATGCAGCACAATGTCCAAACAAATGCACTGATAGACAGGACTGCGAAGAACAAGTCAACAACTTCACCTGTGTGTGTAAACCAGGTTTCTCTGGGCCAGAGTGTGAAACAGGTCAGAACAAACATTTCAACAGATAAACAAATGTAAAGTGTAAAAAAATTACAAGTTGTGGTGAAATATCTGCTGAGGAAGTGAAATACATTATAATTTATTGGTGGTTCTCAGCTGGTGGCTCACGACCCGGGTCTGTTATGATGGGGCCAGGGAAAAACAATGTTTAATGGACAAAGTTTTATACAATCCTGGATGTACTGTATAATTTTATGATAATCTTTACTTAAAAGAATATTTCACCCAAAAAAATGAAAATTTGCTGAAAATGTACTCACCCTCAGGCTATCCAAGATGTGGATGAGCTGTTTCTTCATCAGATGAGTAAATTGTTTCTTCATCGGATGAGTAAATCTGCAAATTTTCAATATTGGGTGAACTACTCCTTTAAGACATTCCTTGATCATGCAGTCATTTTTTTCTCTCTCCAGTCCTTTCATGTGAACCACTCTCTGCACCACCACATGGCTGGATGGAATGCTCCGGTCTGTATGGGAATCATTCCCTCAACTCAAATTGTACATTTTCTTGTGCTGGTGGTTATAAACTGAATGGTACAGCTGAGCTCAAATGCAATTGCTCAGGTGTCCCTCAGGAATGCACCACCCCCTTCATGTGCAGGTGCAATATGTATTTCAAAGTTATGATTCTGTATTTACATCAAAATGTCTTTTATTATGTAAATATATGCATGGAAGATTAAGTTGAAGTTTTTCTGTTGTAGCGGAGTGTTTTGCCATTCTTTTGTTTGGTGGTGGATTGATGAACTGCACTGAAGGACATGACAGCATCAGATCTGCCTGTAGAGGACAGTGTCCACCTGCTCATTTGCTGCTGGGTTTAGCTGAGGGTTATGGCACATGGGAGTCTTCCTTTCCACTAATGTGTGCAAGTGAGGAGTTAATGTGTGCAAGTGAGGAGTTAGCTCTTTTTAGTTGTGTGTCACAGATATTGAGTATAATGAGAGCAGCATGTAATAATAGTAGGTAATAATGATGGTGTTTAATTTTTATTATTTAAATTTTTTTTTTTTTTAGAATTTAATTTGAAAAGATTTTTGGTTCATTTTTAAGAAACCATATACAAGAATCCAGGGAACAATACATATATTTATTGTTACTATCACTAAGCCGCTATGTTATTTTAACTCCATCAGAGTATGTTGTCATATTTATTTAACAAATTCATATATTTAGAATCTGAATAAATAACTGATTTAATTCTGAATCATTCACACACACACACACACACACACACACACACACAAGTTTCTTTCAAAACCAACCCTTCATTCAAAATATGAATGTTACATTCAAAATATTGAGGTTTTGAGGAACATTATTCCAAATCATGTTTGAACCCCATGGGTAAATTAAAAAAAAATAGTTTGAACCCCATGGTTAAATTAAAAACAAATAAATTAAATTATTAGGCTATTTTTAAATGGGAGAAATGTAAGGGAAAATAAAAAGGACTAATTTCAATCGGATTCATAAAGCATTTTAGAAAAAACAACATAGACAGCAATATTCTAATTTTAAATGTAAATATTTTGGCATAACATTAATTATTTATATATTGTTATATCTTTCCTCAGGTTATGTCCATTTTCTAATTGCTCTTTTGGCATCTGTTGTCATCTCTGTGTTTTGTGGCTGTTTATTTTGTTGCTCCAACTGCAGAAGGAGTGAGTATACTTTGAATTTAAGAGTGTATCAAATATCAAAAAATTAATTGCAAAGATATATATATATAATATAATATATAATTAAATTTTTTATTTTGTTGTAGGTAAAAAGGCAGTGAGGTAAATTATGTTCAATTTTAAATTAAGTTTTCTAGCCAGTTGCATTCATGTAGATGGACAGGTCACAGAAATCTTACTCCTCCATGTTTTCTTGCAGAACTCAACAAGCAACGGTGAACCCAGCGTATGAAGCAGAACACACACCACTAGAGGGCCCTCTCTGTTCAGCATAAACATTTCTAATCTGGATGTCTAAACTGGGTTTGATTAAAATCTTCTGTTCATTTTTTTTGAGACTAGCTTTGTTTGTGCAAATATGAAATAGTCAGTAAATGAAAGTCAATAATCTCTTTGTCATCTTTTGCTCAGAAATGCTTTATGTTGTCGCTGTACAAAAAAAAAACAACAGTGTGAGCTGGAGAAGGTGTGACACTAAAAATCATGAACGATTGTATTTCTGGCATAAAACAATAGTCTCTTAAACACTGTTGTGTTGCTTTTCCTTTTATGGCAGCACTATTACACAATTTCCCATCACTTAGTTAACATGTACTGCAACTGAATATTGGCAAATCACGTTTGACAGTAATTTCGTATGCATCAAACTGTGAACGTCTTCTCAGAAATCCTCACAGAATAAATTAAACTGCATAACTGCAATTACGGTAAAATGAACAATCTGCGTTACTTTTTATAGCCTATATATTTTACAGCTATTGATTATATTTTATTTGGGTATGAATAAAACAATGAATATTACTCCAAAAAGCATCTGGACCCCTTTGGTTAGATGACATGCATAAACGAGAATATAAATAATGTCCTAATAAACATTCATATGCATTTCTCATCCTTCAGATGGTTTTGTGGGCGCATAGACTATTTGAATATCTTGTCCTTATAACTGGAATTTATAATGGTATGTTCTTATTTACTCTATTTCTACAGTCCTATATGAATTGTTGGGCAATTAATCAACATGTTTCATAAATAGATCACAGCCCACATACAAAGTTTCACAGTAAAAGCTGTTCACAAATGAACTCTAGCCTACATTATAATAAACTAAATTCTGATGCAATGCAACTGTGCTTAACAGTCAAAGCCTGGACTTACCATTACAACATAGACATTAATGTGGACTGGACAGCAGCTCGTCAGTGGTGTCAGAAGCATTTCACTGATATGGTGGCCATCCAAAACCAGGCAGAAGTTGAATACCTCAACCGGGTTCTACCTTTCAATCAAGCATACTACTGGATTGGCATTAGGAAGATTGACGACTACTGGACGTGGGTTGGGACCAAAAAGCGCTTGGACCCTGAAGCCGCAAACTGGGCGGAAAATGAACCAAATAACAAGGGATCTGGACAAGACTGTGTAGAGATCTACATTAAGAGGCGCAAAGAAACAGCCAAGTGGAATGATGAGAGGTGCAGCAAAAAGAAAGCAACTGTCTGTTATTTAGGTGAACACACTTGATAAAATGAAATATATCAATAGTGTGAAGTTTAATTTTAAATAAATTCGAAAAAATTTAAATTATATAGCTTTGTGTAATATAACAAATGTATATGATAATGTACGTCAATAATGATTATTTCAATGGCATTACTGTCGTAAAAGTATGTAGATAGTTTTCATATGGCGTATTCGATTTTAATATTTCATATGCATGTTTATTGCTTACATTAACTTTAGTTTATACTTGTGGGGTCCTTGGCCTAAACTCAATTTGCAATGCTGAAGTAAAGCTATTTTCTGTGAATGTGCGAGACTTCCGATTCATTATCCGCGATAGGCTACATATCTAGAATAACGATGTGCTGTAAACTGTTTGCGCCACAAACCAGTGTGTTTATGAATACTATAATAAATAAAATAATATAATAAGAAATACCCGGTTGTAATATCAAGCAGCATAACGGATTGTTTTTGTACAGATAAGTGAAAGCGGATGGCACAGGTGTCCTGAAGTGATTGCTTCTCAATCAGATCAAAACAATTAATTCCTTTTAAGAATGTTTAGTACATTTGGATAGATTATTTGCTGTTTAGTGCACATTAACTGCTGTTGAATAGTAAGTGTACAATGTATCCAGTTCTGATTGAAACCTCAGCCCTCATTTTTGGTCATTGCATCTTTATTTCTTGTTTGCAGCCTCTTGTTCAAAGGAATCCTGCAGTGAGCATGCTGAGTGTGTGGAGACTATTGGCAACTACAGATGTCAATGTCACCCGGGTTTCATGGGCCCACGCTGTGAGGAAGGTGCAGTAGAATCGATCCAAGTTTAAATATTTGGTCTTCATTGTGTGCATTTTGTAACTAAGTTACCATTTTCACTTTTGCAGTTGTCCAGTGCTGGCCAATTGAAAATCCACAGCAAGGTTTTGTGAACTGTGACGGTGTCTTTGGAGCATTTCATTTTAACTCGTCATGTCAGTTCCGATGTGTCACAGGGTTCAAGCTGGAGGGGTCACAGAGGCTACGCTGCCTGGCATCAGGGCATTGGGATAACGCTCTTCCTATTTGTCAGGGTACGGTCCAGAATATGTTGCCACACCCTCAGAAAAAAAGGTATAAATCTGTCAAGGGTGGTACCTTTTCAAAAAGTATGGATATGTACCTTTAAAGTACTGATATGTACTATTTAGGTGTAAATAAATTAGCTTTTGTACTTTAAGATACTGCCCTGGCCAGCTTTGTACCTTTATTTCTAAAAGTGCATGCATGAATTGTACAGCAGTAACTATAATACTTACAGCTTGATAAACTAAAAAATAAGTCAATTATTATTTGATTGCTGATGTAACATGTTTAAAAACATGTTACCCTTACAGCTGTCCAGTGTCTGCCCATTATTGATGCCGCAGGTGGTTGGAGTATGAACTGCACTCATCCCCTTTCCATTAATAGCTTCAACTCCAGTTGTGAGTTCAAGTGTGAGGAGGGATTTGAGCTCAAGGGCTCTAATACAACCTGGTGCGACCAGACTGGGCAATGGACACACAAACCCCCCACTTGCACAGGTACAGCACCTCTGCAGAACAATCCTCACTGAATCACCAGGCAGTTCCTGGTTCATACAAGTGTACTGAATATGCATGTAGACCTGACTTAAAAGTTTTTTATTAGCTCAAATGAATAGCAAAGGAATAGTGCACTTCCCTTCCTTTCTTGCGAAAAATGTTAATTTTAATGTTGGGTAACACTGCTAAGACACCCTTAGAAGTGCACAGACTGTAAAGCACTGGACACATAGCACCCCTATTTGTACAGGTTTGGCATCAGTTCATATAATTTTGATTGTCCTAATAGCATTAAACTATATGAAATGTCATTTATTAGTTTACCTATCATTAATTCACGTTTTATATTACGTTTTATGCATTTGCCAGACTTTTATATCATTGTATCCATGTACAGTTTAGTAAGTTTATGCATTCCCTGTGAATCAGTCCCATGACCTTGGTACTGCAAGCAGTAGTTGCTGCTTTTTGAGCAACAAATGTCACAAAATGGCAACTAATTTATTTTTAAAAATAAAATGTAATATATATACTTCTAATTATATTGTATTATTCTTATAAATATAATGGTTCATACTTCATACAAGTGCACTGAATATGCATGTAGACCTGACTTAAAAGTTTTTTATTAGTTCAAAGGAATAGCAAAGGAATAGTGCACTTCCCTTCCTTTCTTGCGAAACATTTTAATTTTAATGTTGGGTAACACTGCTAAGACACACCCTAGAAGTGCACAGACTGTAAAAAACACTGTTTTCAAGCATTTTTTTCTGTGTTTGAATAGACAGTAATCAGTGTTTAATGCATTTGTCGCAGTGGTGACCTGTAATGAAATCCTAGCTCCTGCAAAGGGTCATCTGACATGTGCTGATCCTTTGGGAAAGTACTCTTTTCGTTCTACTTGCAATATTTCCTGTGTTGAGGGACACAAATTGAGAGGAAAAGCCACACTCAGCTGTCTAAGTGATGGCAATTGGTCAGCACCAACACCTGATTGTGAAGGTACATAATTTCATACATGATTTCTCAGTGTCATACACTGAGTAAATACATATTTCCATCACGATGTGAGCTCTGGAAAATGCCAATATGCCCTAAGCGCACTGCAAAAAAAAAAAAAAACAATCATAAACAATGTGTTCTACACTCACACATACTCAATTAAGTCTATAATCTGTCTTGTCTGTACTATTCTCTTCTAATTTTGGCAGTTGTAAAGTGTGACCCATTGAAGCCCATTCCACATGGCTCCCTGCAATGTTATGACCCTGTGGAGAAGTTTGCTTATGGCTCCACTTGCTGGTTAAAATGTGATTTTGGTTTTGTCCACAATGGTACAAATTTCACTCACTGTACCGAACAGGGGAACTGGAGTTACATCCCTCCTGTTTGCCAAGGTAAAATGCATCTTTAACAATACATATACATACATACACATATCTTCAGTTCATACTGTAGTTCCAGCAAAATCAGTTTATGAAATGCTTCGGGTTTTTCCACAGCTATACAGTGTTCGCCTCTCTCTGATGCACCAAGTTATGGAAGTATGACCTGCACACACCCTCTCTCCACCAACAGCTACAATTCCAGCTGTGAGTTCAAGTGTGAAGAGGGTTTTGTGCTTAAAGGTGCAGATTCCACCCACTGTGACCATACTGGGCACTGGACACATAGCACCCCTATTTGTACAGGTTTGGCATCAGTTCATATAATTTTGATTGTCCTAATAGCATTAAACTATATGAAATGTCATTTATTAGTTTACCTATCATTAATTCACGTTTTATATTACATTTTATGCATTTGCCAGACTTTTATATCATTGTATCCATGTACAGTTTAGTAAGATTATGCATTCCCTGTGAATCAGTCCCATGACCTTGGGAACTGCAAGCAGTAGTTGCTGCTTTTTGTGCAACAAATGTCACAAAATGGCAACTAATTTATTTGTAAAAATAAAATGTAATATATATACTTCTAATTATATTGTATTATTCTTATAAATATAATAAAATAATAATAAAATATATTTAAATATATTTTATTATTGCTCTATACACACTATGCATGATCAGACTAGGGGGTTTCAGAATTTTTTTAATGATTTAGAACAAATGAAAAGTTCATCACTGATCTCATTCAAATTTAAGCTGTGGCTTGTGACCCTCTCGTGACCCCTGCAAAGAGCCACCTGACCTGTGCTGATCCACTGGAAAAGTTCTCTTTTCGTTCTTCTTGTAAAGCTACTTGTGAGGAGGGATACAAACTGAGAGGAGAAACCACACTCACTTGTCGGAGTGACGGCAACTGGTCAGCACCAACACCTGCATGTGAAGGTACTGTAGGTTTAACTATATTTCAATAAAACAATCTTTAGTTTAAACCCTTACATTTTTACTTTAAACCATTGCACCATTTGGAATGTGCAAACCTTGTGTCTTGCAAACATTTTTTTTTTGTTCATACGCTCTTATGCTGTTTCCATCTTTTCAGTTATAAGATGTGATGCTCCGGAGTCTGTTCAACATGGCTTTGTGCACTGTCAGGACCACCTGGGGGAGTTCAGCTATGGTTCCTTGTGCTGGCTGGAGTGTGGAGCTGGATTTACTTTAAAAGGAAGTAATTCTACTTACTGCACCTCACAAGGGAAATGGAGCCAAGAATTTCCTGTTTGTCAAGGTAACCAAACACTCTTGATAATCTGTGATGCTTAAATAGGAAGAATCTTGGGTGTCCGAGAGCTTTAGGTCTGACTAAACAGACCATATATAAGTTATTTGTATTGTGAAGATTTCTAGTCTTGTCCTAACATAAATAAAGGACAAATATTTAGCATTGACATCTTTCATGTAGTATAATGTCATGGACAGTACACTCTTAAAAATAAAGGTTCCAAAAATAAAGGGTTTTTGACAGAAATGCCATTAAAGAACCATTGTGGGTTCCCCAAAGAATTTTTAATGGAACAGTTCTTAAAACAACCATTTTTTTAGGTTGAAGAACTTTTTAATAATCTGGAGTACATTTGTAAAATTAATTATTTAATTAATCAAGTTTTTTTTAAAGCGTGTAAGACATTATCATAGATCTTTTGATTCTCCGTTCAACAGCACAGCAGTGCAGCCCCTTAATTGACCCCTCTCATGGTACTGTAATCTGCACTCATCCTAATGGGCAGTTCAGCTTTGGTACAGTGTGTGAAGTGAGCTGTCAGGCAGGCTTCAAACTGCATGGCACGCCCCGAATGGAGTGCTTGGAGATGGGGAAGTGGACAGACGCCCCACCCTTCTGCTTGGGTAATCGCTCTTGGGTGTTCCTATTTCACCTCACACATGTCATGATGTCTCATCTTTTGAGATTTCATATTCATCTGTCACCCCATTAAAATGAAATTAGATTAAATTAAGATAGTTAATTTAATTAAAAAAAATGTTTTTTTTTTCCCATAGCTCAACAGTGCCCCCACTTGACTGCTCCAGAAAATGGCTGGATGAATTGTTCTCATCCTCACTCCCTGTTTAGCTATGGCTCCCAGTGCTTCCTGGGATGTGAGACTGGCTTTGAGATTACAGGAGAGCCAGGCATAAAGTGCTCTGCTTCTGGGAACTGGAGTCAGGAGGTGCCCTCTTGTGCTGGTATCTACTTCTTGGCAACCTTCTTTGGTTAATTTTTTGGGAACCAATTCAAGGAATATTCTCTTTAGGTTCTATTTTCGTAACAAAAACTAACATTCTCAGAATGTTATGGCAACCACATTTTTGTAAGCTGGGCTTTTCCTGTTATTTATACACTGATAAATATAAAATCAGACCTTTAAAACTGATCTTATTAAGAATCATGGGACGTAAAAAACATTCTTCACTAAATACTCTCCTTCCGTTTCTCTTTGAAATGGCAGCTGTTCGCTGTGAGCCGCTTTCACTCTCTCATCTTCCTGAGCTGGGATCTCCACCCTCAATGAACTGCTCTCACCCCCATGGAAACTTCAGCTTTGGATCTCAGTGTATGTTCCGGTGTGCCAAGAGCCATGAGCTCAATGGAACCAGTCAGCTCATCTGCAGCTCCATTGGGTACTGGACCAACTCTCCGCCCAGTTGTGTTGGTAAGACATCTGTTAACCCATCATTATTTATGTATTATTGCAGTGGCAAATTGTGCACTTTAATATTGCACATATTGGATTGTAATTGCACTTATAAACTAAAACTTTGACAACATCTGTTATGTGCTTTAGTAAAGGAGATGTCAGTGAGTGCTGGCATACTGATGTACGCAGCTGTGGGAGCTGCTTCTTCAGCTGGTCTACTTCTACTCGGAGGACTAATGTTTCTGTTGATGCGGCAATTCGCTAAAAAGGGTAACAAAATTAATGATCCTGTTCCACTCTTGGCATAATTGTTTTTTTAACCATTCAACTAATAAAAATAGTAATTTATTGGTATTTGACAACAACATTATTTGTTTGATATTTAAACAAATTCTTTTATTGATTTATATTATTTAGTGCTAGCAAACCTTTGTATATGTTTAGCTTTATTAAGTCAATTTAGCTTGGTCAGTGATATTAGTTAGGTCAATGATGTGTGTTGGCAATGCAACAAGGACCAATACAGTCACTTTCGGGAACAAATAACTTTTAGCTCTAAAACATGCTTGTTCAACAGATAGTTCACCCCCCAAAAAAACTCTCACCCTAATGTTGTTCCAAACCTCCATGACTTTTTGTTTTCCAACATTTCTCAAAATATCTCCTTTTGTGTTGTGTAGAAGAAAGAAATTCATACAGATTTGAAACGACATTAAGAGTGAGAATGACTGATTTTCATTTTTGGGTGAACTATCCCTTTAAACTTTAACTGTCTGTTCTAACAGTATCTTAACATATTTTCTGTATTCTTCTCCACTGCAGCTCATTACAGTCTGAATGACTCTTCATGGGAAGAGAATTTGAACCCAACATTTGAATTCAATTAAAATACAAATTGAAGTAACTGATATTTTCCATGTTGTTTTGTGCTTGCAATAAATGAACATTTGAATAGAACTGTGCGTTATGTGTTGAAACATCCATATGTCATTATGCTAGTATGGATTTATTTCTACTATAAATAAACATTTATACAGTTTCCAGCATTGTCATATGCTAATAATGTAATATCAGGAGTATCTTTGTGACACCCTCACTAGGTATGTGAGAGACAGTGTGAACATTGCCAGAAACACCCTGTTGTCCACCCACTCTTACACCCACTGTTTCATATAGCCTCACCCTGGATGTTCTGCTCCAGATCAGACACCCGGGCCAGAGCGTGCTGCCTCTGGGCACTGTGCGCACTGTCACCCAGGCCCAAAATCCAGACTCTGGCCTCTAGTTGCCCCTTCACCTTGTTCCATATATCTGAGAAACTTTGGGGTCAGGAGCTAATGAGTATTTTCTATAGACATGGTGTCTAGGTTTTAATATAAATGCCAAAACATCTTATGCCTAAGGTTTATTTTTATTTTTTTTACATTTACACAAAGTTCACACTGTTCACTTAAATGTGATAAAGCTAAAATGATTTTTGTGAGCAATTTTTTGTGATGCTTATTAGGCCAATAGCTATATTAAGAAATATGTGATGGGAACATGCTGCATAACAGGAACGGCCCTTTTATTTATTTCTGCTGCTGGTCAGTAGGAGCTCTTCAGCATTTCGGCACAGAAGGAGAGAGTTGCACGTGTATCTAACCAGTCGCATCTGTCCGGGCATTAACAGCGTGACGCCAATTATATCGCTTAAGAGGGAGCGGGTCTGCAGCCCATCCTGGCACGAAATGCGTAATAAATAACTGATCAGCTGACTGGATGCCTCCTGGCTGCTATCGTGATAATAACGAGGCTATTGCTACCCGCTGTGACCGTATGATAGCCGTTTGATTATTTTTCGTTTTCTTTCGGCTGCTTGGCTTGCCAGCGGCCGGCCATTCTCGCGCCAATAAATGCACCAGAGACTGCGATGCGCATTTAAGCGAAATACAGTGATGTGTTCACACATCAGTAAACCGAGAGTCAGAAAATGTCATTCCTTTCATATTCATATATATATATATATATATATATAATTTGCACTGATTGCACCAAAGGTTATCTGCATTACAAACTAGGCTTGCCTGCGGTAGCCTAGTGAGATTTTTTTCAGTGGCCACTGGCTAAAACACTGTGATTAACAGGAAACAGATCATGAGAGTCAGGGGTTTCTTTACTGGAGCACCCCTATCAGAAAGTGTTATATTGTGATATTCGTCGTTACTGTTATGGATTGTCTTTATCTGCAGTACAGAATCTTTCACAAGCTGTATGCTCAAAAAAAGAGCTGAAATATGCACTACTATTTCCATGTGTGAAACCACTGCAAACGATTCCGTGCGTGAGTAAATTGTCCGAATTAATCAAATCAAACGAATCGCTAACAATTTCAGAACTTTTGACAAGAGCGTTTGACCGATTAGATCAAAAGAGTGATTCTTATCGCGATTCTATTCGTATTACCCAGCAAACACAGAACGTTCCCCTAACGTTATTTGTTTTTGGGAATCAAATACTAACGTTAGGGGAACGTTCTTTTTAGGTTATATTTTTTGTAACCATAAAATAACGTTCCCCGAACGTTGCATGGTGGTTGTTTTTAAAATAACCTACAAATAACTTATACAGAACGTTCCCTAATGGTTATTTTTATAGGTAATTTTTTGCAACCATAAAAATAACGTTCTGGGAACCGCAGGGTGGTTGTTTTTAAAATAACCTAAAAATAACTTATACAGAACGTTCCCTAAAGGTTATTTTTAGGTTATTTTTTGCAACCATAAAAAAATAACGTTCTGGGAACCAAAAACTAACGTTCCGGGAATGTTCTGGGAACCAAAAATTGTTAGCTGGGTAGTTACAATTCTAAACAGCTGATGGAAAACACCTGATGTGATTGACAAATTTTTGTCAATCGGACTGCACTGGTGGCGCGGCGTGTTTTGACTCACTAAAAAGAATCTGCTCATAAGTCATTCGTTGGGGAATCGGACTATACTGGCCGCTGAATCAAGAAGCAGCGATGCCCTAGTAGTGTAAGTATTTTACTACAGGTTTCCGCGAATTTAAATGAAAAAAAAAATCTGAATAAGAACCAGTTCTACGAGAAAATACTATTTATTTGTTATATTAATTTTTCCGAATAACCGTAACACGAACATTTGCTCATGAAAACAAATTGTTCATCTCATCTCTGCTCTGCAACCTCTCCTGACAGGTCCACATGACAGGAACAGACAGTTTAAATTGTTCCTGCCCAGTGACTTGTGCCTCTTACATCTCGAGGTCTGATATCAGAGTAAGAAATGTGAACCTGGTACAGACAGAAAGAGGGTTCATTGCTGGAGCAAAGAGGCACAGTATGAAGGGATTCCTATCTTTGCAGCATGCCTTACATTTTCACCTGACATTATCCTCATGCCCTACAGTAAGCAAAACTATAACATGGGTACATTCCAGAGGGACAGCCCCTATGGTCTGGCTTGTTGTATGGTCACATACAAGCCCAATGTAAGATTTAAAATGCAAGAATTCAGTTTAGCTTTATCTAATAAAATCACAATATAAAATCATTATCATGAGAGACCATGGCTGGATGTGGTGCATATTTATGGGTATTTCTGACACTGAAGTCTGAATCTAAAGATCTGGGCGATGCTATGCCCTGTGGTGGACCACCATCTGGCTCTGGTAAAGTGCCATAAAGATATGCATCATGATAGGAGGTGCTGAAAGCCTAGACTAGGTATGACCTTGAGTTTGGAAAATGCCAGTTCTAGTGCAATATAGTGTGTGATTGTTGATATTACAAGTTTCATTCTCATCAAGACAAACTGTAAAAGAAATATAAAAATGAAGGTCAATACTTTGCATTTAAGTAAAGTAAATTGGGCTCCAATTACAAACTGGTGTTTCTAGCTTTTCATCAGCATTGGGGCTCAGGACCTCTATCACAAAAGTGTGCTCACATTTGATACTCCTTTTTTAGATTTTGAATATAAATGGATAAAAAAAATCAGCTTTACCTACAGCAGAGTCATGCACAAGCTGCACACGCAATGAAGATCTGAGTCTTTGACACACAATAGAAAACATTTGCAAGTTTTGTTTTCTACAATGGATTATATAAATATCCACCTCATCCAGCGTTCTTTTTGTTTTCTGTCTTATAAAATATCCAATTACTAATTTGGTGTGAGAAACTGCTGCAAACAATTCAGTCTGTGAGTCAACTGTCCGAAATAATCAAAGTGAGCAAACAGTTTCCAATCTTTTGCAAACCCTTTTGACCGATTAATTAATTGGAGAATCTAGCATTGCTAGTTCTGATTCTGAACAACTGATGGAAATGACGCATGACTTGATTGCTGAAATATTATCAGAAAAAATGTGGTATATGGTAATCATCACTGACATACAGTATGAAGATTTATCACTAATATTTTACTTGTGCAAGGCAGGAATTTCACTGCAGTAAAAAGTATCTGGTTGCAAATGGCAATTAAATTTAAAACAAAATCAAATGAATCAAGAAACAATCTTGCCAGATCTTTGGCTGTTTTAAATACCAGATACCTGAAAATACAATTGTTTTGCAGTCAGTAAGCATTTTATTGTAATTCAGTTACACACATAAAATAATAAATACAAATTACACAGAACATTTTTATCACAGTATATTTCCATTGTCAACAATCACCACCATTTCTACCCTAAAAACATGCATAAGCAGAATACACACACAAGCATTCACTCCTCATATGTCTTTCCTGAGCTGTCTGAATGATGCTCAAGAGGCGAAATATGAATCTTGCATTGAATACAATCGGTCAATGGGTGTTAAAAGGGAAGGTTCACTGGACAACATACAGTCTCCAAAATGACAAAGAGGGTCACTGTCTGTATCGTCATAGAGTGTGTCACAACCTATAAAGAGAGAGATGGTAAATGGGATGGACAAAAAGTATTTGTCTGCATTTTTCACTGCAGAGTATCAGTACTGTATTTTGAGAGCCTAGTGTGTGTTTTGTTGTGTGTACCGTAGGGATGCATGTGGTCTCCAGGCATCTGAGGAGGCGTGAGGCCCTGTCTGAATGGGTCCAGCTTGAAGCTCTGTGAGTCTAGACCTATATTCTGCTGGGTAAGTGAATATGAACCTGCACAATCCAGCTCAGCAGGCAGACCTCCACAAGAGGGAGCTGTAGTCATACAAATGGCAAGAAAAGAACTTCTCAGTGTAGTGTAGATTTAAACAGCTTCGGCTAAAGGATGAATTTAGGCCACATAAGTTCTTTTCACATATAAAATTGTTAACCCCAGGTCTAATCCTTGGTTTAACAGAATCCTGGGTTATATTTTTCCATATTTTACATTGTACATTCGTAAACCCAACATAATTTTACTTTTGCATGTCAGTATCAATAACTTATGAAAAATAGCATTTGAGCATCAGCTGCTTATATTACTGTACCTTCAACTTTGTCCTAAATAAGCCTTAATCCCAATTATGTGTTTTTCGCCACTGTTTGACTTTTTTTTTTCTCTTAAAACCCAGCTAATGGAATGTGCGTGGAACATTCTGGCAAGGTTCTCCAAAAGTTATGAACAAACGTTCTTCCAGTAACACAGAACGTTTGTTTTGGTTGGACATTTGACTCGTTTTTTTTTTTAAACATTATTGCTTACTACTTGTTTCAGAATGTTCAGAAAACATCCAAAAGTAATGTTCTCATAATGTTTGCAAAATTATAAAATTAAACATTCCTTTTCCCCATTTTGTTCTCTAACATTTTACATAAAAAAATTATGTTTTTTTTAAACGAACATTAACAAATAACGTTTTCATGACCTAATGGGGACATTAGCAAAACCTTCTTACAACATATTTTTGTTAGCTGGGAATGTT